TGAACTGCCAGTCTTCTGGTTAGCAGCTGAGCTCTTAACCACTGCACCACCAGGGCTCCTCTGATGTATAGTTGGTGTCAATCAGCATTCCCCTCCCCTGCCTTGAGGCTCAGTTTTCTCATCTGTAAAATGGGGATGATACCACTTCCCTCGGGTTTGCCGTGGCGCCAAAGGCCACTGTACGCCTAAAGATATCCTGCAGAGTTAGTGCTCGAGAAAAATCATTTCCTCTCAGGTGCCAACCAAAGCTTGGGTGGCAAATGGGCCTCTGCTCAGTGGGTGAGCAGTAGCCTGAGGCCTTGGACATTCTGCTCTGGAGATTCTTCTCTGATGGCCTGAGGTATGTCTGTCTTATTGGATCTGAGGAGATGGAGTGCTTGCCCATGGTCATGGTCAGGTCACCAGGAATCCCCTACTGTCCTTCCCACTGCACAAACCTTTCAGAGTTGAAGAGAAGAAGGGACGAAGGGAGAGAGAAATGGAGCGAGGAAACACTCACTATCAGAGGATAAATCTAGACTCTACCTTTAAGTTTTGGGGCTCAGAGACCTCTGCTCACCCCCTGCTGTGCCACTTAGGGCGGCAGGGCTTACCCTACTGGTGGCTCCAGCCCTTCCCACCGGCCTCAGGCTGAGGCCAGGCCTCTGTGCAGGCTGCCCTTGTCCACCAGGCTCAGCGCTCCTCACACATCCTCATGCCTGGGATTCCTCCAAGCCCAGTCAAGCCCCAAGGGTGGGTCAGCACCAGGGGCTGGGCCAGTGGGCAATGCACAGTTGACCTTGGCCACCGGTCAGCTCTGAGGCTTAGCTGCACATTGTGGAATGCAAACCTCTCCCAGACTCCTCTGGAGGCTGGTGTGGGGCACCAGCCTCACAGGGTGGGACAGCCAGAGTGATAGGTGGGGTGTGCCGCTGCAGGGGGTGAGGGCGATGACCCAGAGCCAGAGTTAGAGCCAGGCATAGTTGGTGGCATCACCGTAGGCTGGGGGAGCTGGGGGATGAGACCCCCATACTACCCACAGAGTGAGGCCACCAAGAAACCCTGCCAGACACCCAATGCACCAGCTAGGTGAGGCCGTGCCAGCTGTTTTCCTAGACTGGGCAGCCCCTCCTGGCTTGGGGGGCAGTGTAACAGTAGGGGGTGCTGGCCAGGGGCAAGTGGGGGAGGACCGAGAGCCGATGTGCCTTAGACTTTATAAAGGCAGCTTCTGTGTTCCCCACAGAGCAGCTTCTTTGAAGCTGAAAGCCAGCAACACTTTATACAAGAGCTCTACTGCCTCCCCATCCACCCTACCCTCTCCCACAGCTCAGATGCCCTCTTGGAGGCCAGAGGAGGATTTCCAACAATAAGGCTATCTTCCTCTGGACCTACCTGCCATCCCAGACTGCCCTTAGACCCGGGCTACCAAGGCCCCTGCCCTGGACCCTATGCTATGGAGGGCCCTCTCTACAGGAGTCCATGGGGTCAAGGGGACACATCCACTCAGAACCTACTCCACCCCACTTCTCCACCTGCTCCAGGTAAGGCCCCCAGAAATCCCTGCTTAAACAGCCCAAGCCCACTCTCAGGGCCTCCTCCCTGGGCCAGTCCTCCCAAGGGCAGTCTGAGCTAGGGGTGCACATCCCTGAACCCATGGGGTGTCCTAGGGGCTGCTGTTTGTGGGTGGAGGTGGGAGTGTGGATGGAGCTTTGGACATTCAGGCTGAGGCCCTCACTGAGAGGGAAGGAGCCAGTTGGGTGGAGAATGGGATGCGCTGCGGTGCCATTGGGGGTCCTTTTGTACCCTTGCTACAGGCCAGTAAACAATAGGGGCAGGCTTCTGACACCCCCACCCCACAAACACACAGGGCTTCCTCACCCTGCAACTCCTCCAGCCGGTGTCAGTCACATGAATCAGTTAAAAGCCCATAGTAACTGCCCTGCCTGGTTCACCCTAAGGACCTCAAACCCCAACCCTGAAAGGAGCTGGGCCTGGAGTTGGGAGATGAGCTCCTGCGGCCAGTGGGTGGGGTAGAAAAAGTGGAGCTGACTCGGGCTGCTTCTTTGAGGGAGAGGTCCAGTGCAGGCGGGGCCTCCCCCGGGCACAGCCAGGCCTGCCTGACTCAGAGGGTGGGATAACCCAAGGAGCTCTCACCGCCTGCGGCAGCCCTGGGGACCTGTCCAGCCAGTTTCCCCATATTTGCCACACTGGCATTTCATTTTTAATTCCTCATACGCATCACCCTGGCGACAGCTTGATTCAGAGCAGGGGAGGGTGAGAGGGAGCCCCAGAGAGAAGGACAACCTTCCCACCACCCGACTGTGGGGACAGGGCAGAGTGCCAGGCTCTGGCCCTGAGCTCTGGGTGGGCTTCCCCTGGGAGGTGGGAGTAGGAGGGGAAGATGTTTCTAAGGGAAAAAGATACCTCCCCAACTCTGCCGAGGCCCAGGGTGATATGGATAGGACTGCATGGCGTCCTGCCTCTGCTTCTGTGTGACCTGGGAAAGGGCTTTCCCCTCCCTGGGCCTCAGTTTCCTCATCCTGATGAGCACTGAGGTCCTACCCAGCTCTGACATTTGGCGATACTAATCCAGCTCTAAGGAGCCCTGGTGGCGTAGTGGTTAAGCACTCGGCTGCTAACCCAAAGGTCAACCCACCAGCTGCTCCTCAGGAGAAAGATGCAGTGGTCTGCTTCCGTAAAGATTTACAGCCTTGGAAACCCTATGGGGCAGTTCAACTCTGTCCTGTAGGGTTGCTATGAGTCAGAATCGACTGCACAGCAACAGATTTGGTTTTGGTTTAATCCAGCTGTAGAGCTCCCTGAGCAGGAAGGTGGGGTGGCTCTGGGCTGGTTGGAACGCCAGCCTTTTCAGATTTGGAAGCAGAGAGACCTTTCCAGCTCGAGGAGCGATCCACATGTCTCCAGGGGCCTGGCATCTCTGGGGAGCCTCCAATGAGCTGGCCACACCCACTGCCCCCCTATTGCCAGTTACCAGTTGCCGTAGAGTCGATTCCAACTCATGTTGACCCCATGTGTGTCTGAATAGAACTGTGCTCCATAGGGTTTTCAGTGGCTGATTTTTTGGAAGTAGATCACCAGGCCTTTCTTCCGAGGTGCTTCTGGGTGGACTCGAACTTCCAAACTTTCGGTTAGCAACCAAATGCTTAACCGTTTGTACCACCCAGGGACTATTGCCCCTCCATTAGGGAGTCATTTTAACACAGAAGGTCACAGCTGGGGAGATTCTTGAGGACTAACCAGTGTAGCCCCCACTGACAGATGCAAGCCAGAGGCCCAGAGAGAGGAAAGGACTGGCCCTCAGCCATCCTGCAACCCAGGGGAAGAGCCCGAACTGGTGCCAGCTACCTGAGGATCAATTCCAGGTGCGTCCCACTCACTAAGGGATCCTGAGGGCCTTTTCATAATTGCCTTTGGCTGCTGAATGCCTGAGAAAGCATTTCTTAGTCCTCAGCACCTTTCCCTCAAATGGAGTGAGGAGGCTCCAGGGAAGGGGGCAGAAGCACCTGTCATTGCCCTCCCCTCCACTCTTTTTTTTTTTTTTTTTTTATTGTATTTCAGGTGAAGGCTTAAAGAACAAATAGTTTCTCATGAAACAGAACTACACATGTTGTTTTATAACATTGGTTAACAACCCCACAACATATCAACCCTCTAACTTCTCAACCTCTTTTTTTTTTGGTGAAAATACACATAGCCAAAGATACACCATTTCAAAAATGTCTACATGTACAGTTCAGTGACATTGACTACGCTCTTTGAATTGTGCTGTTATTCTCACTTAAGATGAAGGCTTTCCCCTCCACTCTTGCACTCCATCCCTTGGCAGCTCATGGGTACTGATGGTGAGGGTATGTTCAGAAGACTGCCCAGGCCCAGACAGAGCTTGAGGAAGAGCATGGTCCTTGCTGGGGCCCATCACCTGGCTTTTTGGGGTGATGCCACTTGGTGCCTCCCCTGCCCCAGGGCAGCCTGGCCTGGAAGGTGCCCTCAGAGTGTTGGAAGGGAGGACAGGGAGGGGCCGGATGATGTCAGGCAGGGCTGGGGCAGGATGGGCGTGTGTCTGCATATGAACTCACACCCATATGGAGCTCTGTCCCTCTTAGTCTTCCCCCTACTCCTGCTCTCGGCCTCCTGCCCCACCTGGAAGAAAGCAAAGGACCCGTCCCCGAGCCTGGCACAGAAGGGAAGGGAGAGGAGTGGGATGGTCAGGCTACTAGAAACTTAAAAATTACATATAAGGCTCGCATTATATTTTTATTGGACAGTGCTGCTCTAGACTGTTCCAGAAAACCCAGGAACTTTCACCATGGTAAATAGAACCCACCACCAAGCAGTCATGCTGGGTACCTCTCCTTTGTCAAAGAACAAAAGCCCAATCACAAACTCCAAAAGGGAGTTTTGGTTTCCTGCAGTTTCTGACCCTCAAACACATCTGTCCTAAATGCCCTTCTCTAAGGTCCACTGCTATTTGTCCTTTGAGGCAGTTTAGGTATTACCTCTTCCAGGAAGCCCTCCTTGACCACCCTCTGTGGCTGGATTGGCTGCCCCTGCTCTGGCTTATGTTCTAAGAATCTGTTTACTCATTTGTTTCCTGCACTGGGCAGGGAGCTCCTTGAGAGCAGCAAGGCTAGCTCAGTCATCTCAGAATCCCAGCAGGAATGCAGGGCCTGGCTAGGAGCAGGTAGTTATCAGTGATTGTGGAATATGAATCCTGCTTGGCTGGAGGTACCCATTGGTGTGTCACCTCTGTACACAAATTCTCCATAACTTCTCCTTGGGTTTCAGCCCCAGAGGAGATGACACCACTAATCCCAGCTTTCCTGCTGACAGTCTCAGCCATGCCTTCTCCCAGCAGCCACCCAGGGTTGGCACCAGGAATGATCAGAGGGTGAGGCTGACCTCCCTCAGGGCCAGGGAAGATGGGACTGCCTGCTGTATGGCAGCCGCAGGTGTCCCCGTCCAGTACTGACCCTCAGATCCCAGAGCAGAACTATACTCACCAGTGGAAGGAAAGTCAGCAGGGGCCGGACTCTTGGCCGAGCTTTCAGTGTGGCTGTTCCGGACTCACTCACTGTGTCAAACCGATTGTCTCCGTAATAGATACCATCTAGGCGAGACAAGTGAGGGAGACCATGAGCTGGAGGTCAAAGGTATCTGGGCCAGTCAAGATTAATCTGCCTTGCAGTTCCCAGTTGAAGGAAGCCAGGGCCTGTAGTTGCCACCTGGTTGACTCAGCTAAGCACATCATCATACATAGTAAGTTCCTCTGGATGGGGCATGAGCTAATGGGTCTGACTAAGGCTGCACAGTGGAGGACTCAGTGAGTGGTTTCCTGGGGTCTCCACCAGGGTTCCTGGGGCATTCAGATCCTAGCAACCACCTCTCTCCTTATCCACCTCCCACAGGTCCTGGGCCTTTTTCCCCACAGAAAGTTGTCTCTCCCTTTGGGGCCCTGAGAGCTTGGCCAAGGCCCCAGCCTCAGCCCCAGCCAAAGCTTATCTCTGAGAGAGGGAGGAAAACAAGTCAACTTTTCTTTCAACTGTTTGAATTTCTGATCTGGAACAAGCAGAGATGATGAGACCACTTGCTGCCCCCAGTGGTCACGACTCTACCTTCTAGACTCCTCAAATTTGAGATTTCCCGATCCCCCAAATTGCCGAAGGTTGAGGGAGTACCTACGGCTCTGTTTGATGCACCCTTGTAGGCAGGCCGAAAGAACGGGTCTGTAGTAAGTATCCCAGCCCCACCACTGACTGGCATTTCTGGGCCTCAGTTTCCCCATCCGTACAGTGGAAGTGATGATAGTGCCAACCTCATAGGACTATTATTGTGGGGAGTGTGAGGAGTAAGTGTGGCTGGCACATAGTAAGTGCTCAACAAATGTGGTCCCTTCCCTGTAGGAAGATGATAGAAGAACCTTCCTCTTTCTCTAGTGAATCCCTGGGTGGTACAAATGGTTAAGCGCTCAGCTACCAACCGAAAGCTTGGCAGTTTGAATTCACCCAGGGATGCCTCAGAAGAAAGACCTGGCAATCTATTTCTAAAATATCACAGCCACTGAAAACCCTATGGAGCACAGTTCTACCCTGAAACACATGGGGTCGCAATGAGCCGGAATCAAGTCGACAGCAACTGGTACTGGTACTTCCTCTATAGTTACTGGGCCTATGCTCTGGGCTGTTACTACAGTAGAGGAGGAGGGTGTGAAGAGACATTCATAGTTTCTCATGTAATCTCCCTCATGACCCTTGACACACACTGATAAGAACCTCACCTCCAGCACTGTCACCTCCTAGAGGCAGGCATCAGTGTGAGCTCCCTACTATGTTGTTCATGAGCAAGGAGGACTTTCATTCATTTAACAGGGTATGAGGGACTTTCTCCTCCTCTATAACCAGAGACGAAAGAGAACAAAGGTCGGCAGCCCAATTAACCAGAATCTTATCAACTGGGACACTGAACTAATCGTAATTACTGTTCCCCTTGCGGGAAGCCTGCTGACACAGTGGTTAAGTGCCCAGCTGCTAACCAAAAGGTCGGTGGTTCACATCCACCAGCTGCTCTGCGGGAGAAAGATGTGACAGCCTGCTTCTGTAAAGATTTACAGCCTTGGAAACCCTATGGGGCAGTTCTACTATCTTATAGGGTTGCTACAAATTGGAATCGATTCAATGGCAATGGGTTTCCCCTTACACATGACTTTGGGAGAAAATTACAAGGATGCTAGATGATTTATTAGAAAAGAGACTGGGTTTGTCAGGGAGATCCTAGGATCAGAACACATTCACCCCAGTTTCCTACACCTATAGCCACCCCCTGTACGTGAGAATCTATGCTTAGACTGTCACCTGGAGACTCCTGAGAACACCCCAGCAACGGGGTCAGAGTCCTCCTAAGGCAGAAAGTTGGCTGGTACATTCAAGATTCTCAACCTCTCCAGCAGAATTTCAAATTCTCATGAAATCCAGACTTTCCTGAGTCAATGAAGCCCAAAAACTATTACCCTGAGGAAATCTTTAAACCTTAGATGGAAACCATCCCCTGAAGTCATCTTTGAATCAATTAGTAGTCTAGCCTGATTAGAAAAGAATGTCTGCATTAAACATTATACTCTTTTAAAGAGTTATCTCTATGTGATCAAATTGACAACAGCAACTCGAAAGGATAGATGAGAAACTGGTGGGGGCAGTGATGGTGAAATAGTTTGGAAAAGATTGTCAAGAAAGGTGGCACAACTTGAAGAATGTAACCAAGGTCACTGAATTGTATGCGTAGAAATTGTTGAAGTGGTATGTTTGTCATGTATATTTTCACCAAAAAAAAAAACAAACAAACCGATTCTCAACCTCTCAAACGAGGCTGAAATCAAAATGGCAAGTTCTCTGTGTGCTCCTCCAGTCCCTGGAAACTTCAGTTCCCAGCACTGTCCTGCCCGGTGACTCTGGGCAAACTCGATTCCCCAGTCTTGGCTGCCAGCTCTGTGCCTGAGGCTGGAGACCAAGATTGGATGGGGTGGGGGGAGGGAACTGTAAGAGTACAGATTTGGCCCAATCAGAAACCACAAAAGCCAAGATAACTAGACACACTAACAGCCAACACTAAAGCCCACCTGACTGTTTCCTGCTTCCAAGAGTTGGCATGTGGACACTGGGATCTCCTGTGACATTCTGTAGATAGTGCTCTGTGGATGCCAGTCCTAGATCGGATGGATATGGCTGCCTGGCCCTTAATGCGGGGAGGCGTGGGTACAGACTGTGTGAGTACAGGCGCCTGGCTAGATACTTCCTCTAATTATTGCATTTATTCTCTGCACAAGTGTTGAGATCTAGGTGGCCTCCTTTCTACAGTTTAGTTATCATGAGTTGAGTTATTAATGAGGACGATTATTGCGTGCCTAGGAGTTTTAGAGGCGTTATATCCGAACAAACTGGCAAAGTGACAGCAATAATAATAATAACAAAAATAATAATAATAGGTAAACCTTACTGAACACTTATAATGGGCCAGGCACTGTTATAAGCATCTTAAAACAAACAGTTACCGTTGACTCCATCCTGACTCGTGGTGACCCCACGTGTTTCATAGTAAATAGAACTGTGCTCATAGGGTTTTCAATGTCTGTGATCTTTCAGAAACAGACCTCCAGACCCTTCTTCCGAGAAGCCTCTACCTGTTACCGTCAAGTCAATTTTGACTTATAGTGACCCTATAGGGTTACTGTGAGTATGAGGAGCCTCTAAACCCGTTGCTGTCGAGTCGATTCCGACTCATAGCAACACGATAGAACATAGTAGAACTGCCCCATAGGGTTTCCAAGGAGCACCTGGTAGATTCAAACTGCCGACCTTTTGGTTAGCAGCCATAGCTAGGGTTTCCTGAGGAGGCTCTAGGTAGGTTCAAACCACCAATCGTTTGGTTAGTAGCCAAGCACTTATCTGTTTGCACCACCCAGTAACTCCAAGCATCTTCCAAAAAAAACCAAACCCATTGCTGTCGAGTTGATGCTGACTCACAGGGACCCTACAGGACAGAGCAGAACTGCCCCATAAGGTTTCCAAGGCTGTAAGTCTTTGCTGAAGCAGACTGCCACATCTTTCTCCTGCCGAGTGGCTAGTGGATTTGAACCACTGACCTTTCAGTTAGCAGCCACACACTTTAACCACTGTGCCCCTAGGGCTCCTTCCCAAGCATCTTGTTGTTGTTAGGTCCCGTAAAGTCGGTTCTGACTCATAGTGACCTGATGTACAACCAGGCGCAGGCCTGGTCCTTCGCCGTCTGGACAATCGTTGTCGACCCTCTACTTTACCAAGCATGATATCCTTCTTCAGGGACTGGTCCGTCCTGATAACATGTCCAAAGTATTTAAACAAAGTCTCACTATCCTCCCTTCTAAGGAGCATTCTGGCTGTACTTCTTTCAAGACAGATTTGTTTGCTCTTCTGGCAGTCCATGGTATATTCGATATTCTTCACCAACACCATAATTCAAAGGTATTAATTCTTCTTCGGTCTTCCTTATTTGTTGTCCAGCTTTCGCATGCATACGAGGTGATTGAAAATACCATGGCTTGAGTCAGGTGCACCTTAGTCCTCAAAGTGACATCTTAGCTTTTTAATACTTTAAAGAGGTCTTTTGCAATACGTTGTTTTTTTTTAATAAGTAAATTATATATTTATTTATTTATTATTCTACGTTAGGTGAAGGTTTACAGAACAAATATTTTCTCATTAAACAGTCAATACACATATTGTTTTATGACATTGGTTAACAACCCCACGACACGTCAACACGTTCCCTTCTCGGCCTTGGAGGACCCTTTTTTTTTTTTTGGTGAAAATATACTTAACCAAAGATACACCGTTTCAAAAATTTCTACATGTACAATTCAGTTACCTCGATTACGTTCTTCTAGTTGTGCTGCTATTCTCACTTTAGATGAAGGTTTACAGAACAAAATAGTTTCTCATTAAACGGTACACATATATTGCCGTGTCACAATGGTTAAGAACCCCACTACATATCAACACTGTCCTTACTCAATCTTGGGTTCCCTATCACCAGCTTTCCTGTCCCCTCCTGCCTTCTAGCCCTTGTCCCTGGACTGCTGTGCCTCATTAGTCCCGTTTTGTTTTATGGGGCTGTCCAGTCCCTGGCTGAATGGTGAATCTCAGGGGTGACTTCACCACTGAGCGAAAAGGGTGTCCGGGGGCCGTACTCTCAGGGTTTCTCCAGTCTCTGTCAGGCCAGTAAATCTGGTCTTTTTTTGTGTGTTAGAATTTTGTCCTACATCCTTCTCCAGCTCCGTCCAGAACCCTCTGTTGTGATCCCGGTCAGAGCAGTCAGTGGTGGTAGCCAGGCACCATCTAGCTGTACTGGATTCAGTCTGGCGGAGGCCGTGGTAGCTGTGGTCCATTAGTCCTTTGGACTAATATTTTCCTTGTTCTCTTCATTCTCCTTTGCTCCTGAAGAGGTGAGACCACTGGAGTATCTTAGTTGGCTGCTCACAGGCTTTGAAGACCCCAGATGCTACTCACCAAGGTAGAATATAGAACAATGTCTTTATAAACTATGTTATGCCAACTGAGCTAGATGTTCCCTGAGACCATG